CCTAGGCATATACCGTTCTCCAACCACAACTAAAGCTCTGAGGGAATGAGAGTCAAGGTACTCACATTTCAGTGCAGAAAGGAGAGCCTAGGACAGTTCAAGGTCTTCCCCTACACATGCATGGTGACCAAGACAGAGGGTAGCAGAGGCACATTACAGCAAACATCTTCTCCCCTCCCCCCAGGCTGACATGCCTCTATGCCTCTGCTTACCTACCTGCATATGCCCTGCCCTTTCACACCTGGCCTACTCTCCTCTGGATGCTACTGAACAATGAGGCCATCAACAAATTATTTTCTGGGTTCCCCTCATCTTCGGTCACCAAATACCTCTAGGTACCCCATCCCCATTGTTGCCATTGGACCCTGTGTGTCTCTTCAGTTTTATTGTGTCTATTGTAGTCACTATAGTTGATTCTGTGTGTGTGCTTTGCTCCCCTTGTTTGCAAAGAGTCTCTGTTCCCTACAGAGGCTGTATCCTCTCTGGAGATGAGTCTCTGTCAAATACCTACACCCCTGCCTTTCTCCCAGGAACATCACTGCCACGGGCAACTTCTGTTACTGATGAGAGGTATCATACGATTCTGGTGCACTGGAGCAGAGAAAAAGGCTGAAAAACATGGTCTAAGCCATTGCTTCACAAAGCATAGCTCTGTCACTACCTGTACTTGAATCACCTGATTACATGACCTTCATCACCACCACCAATTCATCTTAGAACTTTTAGCATTTAATACTCAGTATAGTTCCTAATGCACATAAATTATCATATGTTATAATTAATAATAATTATAGCACACATAAATTATAATGTATTACATTAATCTCTCTGCTCTGTATTTTCCTAATCTGGAAAGTTATTTCTCAGGTTTTTTTCAACACTTAGTATCTAAACGATTTTAGCTTATTGTGCTCTATGCCAGTTTTTCATAGTCCTTTCATAGTCCAGACACAGTCCAGAACCTGGATATCCCATCAGTAATTAACATTTATTGATATAACTAGCTAGGCATTATGCTAATCATTTTGTGTAAGCTCACTTTAGCACTATGAATTAACTGTCATTGTCCTTATTGTATAGATTGGAAACTTGAGGTATTGGTTGGTTAACTGATTTATCCTAAGTCACACAGAGAGTAATAAAAGCAATAAATATGATTCCAATGTTCATAAGCTCATCGATTCCATTGTGCTTACCATTTTAATGTTTATCAACTTACTTTAATATACTTGAAAACAAGAGAGATAGAGAAAACAAGAGAGATTTTCCTTCTGTTGGTTCACTCCTCTAACACTCACAACAGCCAAGGCTGGGCCAGGCTGAATCCAGGAGCTTAGAACTCCATCTGAGTGTCCCAAATGCGTGGAAGGAGCCCAAGGTTTGAGCCACCATCTGCTGCCTCCTGGATGATCCAAGGAGCTGGATCATAAGCAGGACTACTAGGACTCAAACCAGAGCTCCAGTATGGGATGTGGATTTCCCAAGTGGTGGCCTAATCTGCTGCATCACAACACCTGCCCCTGATGTTTGTTGAATAGATAGCACGCTGCAGGGATCTGTAGACAGAGGTACATAAACTACATGTGGTTCTTGCCCTCATGGAGCACATGATCTACCCTGTGGATAGAGAGAGAGCGATGTTAAACAAGTAGACACACTATATTTTTTTAAAATTACCCAGAGAAGTACTATGAAAGAAAATTGAACAAAGCATAGGAGTCTTTGGCTGGTATCCAGTGAAAATATTTTAGAGAAAGTAGCCTTTGAGGAATCTCTCATGTGAAGTGTGGGTACGAAAACTTCCAGGCTAAGAAAACCACATGTGCACATGTCCTGGGATATTGGGGGAATTAAAAATCGGTAATCGGGTGAGGAGGTAGATGAGAGTTATCAAGGAACTAGACTGCAGTGTTTCAGGGTGTTATTCCGTGTGATTTTTATTCCAAATGTGGTTGTTTCTGTCATAAGAAGAGTCAAAGTGGGACTAGGAATTCAAACAACCTTTTTCCAAGAGCTCATTCAAAACTCAAGATGGTACATCCATCATTTTTCAGGAGGATGTGGGAAGGGCAGATCAAAGCAGGTAGATGGGACGTTGGAAGCAAGACTCCGTGTAAGGAGAATAATCTCTGGAGAGGCAGTTGTGGAAATGCTCTGGCCAAATGGAAAGGTTCAGGGAGGCGGAGGATTTGAGATGGCATTCTGCATCTAATCAGAGAAGTACCATAAGCCTGCCATGCAAGAACTTTGCTGCAGACGGGATAGAAAGAAGGAAGCAGAGTCAGGTCAAGGAATTGGAATCAGTGGCCACAGTTTCTTTTACCTGCTCATTACCAAGGGCTGATCTTGTCCCTCCACAGCCATCTTCCAACCCCTACCACCCTAGCACCAAGAGCCTTGAATCCCAGTACTCTGCTCATTCATGACCCTGAAGGATGCAGGAAGATCTGAACCTAAATGTTTATGGGAGCAAGCGGCAGCTTCCTGATTTCTCATCAAATGATTAAAATGTCTATTATTGGGGCAAGTAATTGGCTCAACAATTAAGATACTACTTGCACATTCACATACTACATCTGAGAACCTGGGTTAGAGTCCCTGCCTCACTCCCAATTCCAGCTCTCTGCTAATGCACATCTTGGGAGATAGCAGGTAATGGCTCAAGTAGATGAATCTCTGCCACTGATGTGGGAGATGTGGGCTTCAGTTCCAGCTGCTGGCTTTAGCCTAGTCCAGCCTTGTCTCTGCAGGCGTTTGGCATGTGAGCCTGCAGGTGGGGTATCTCTCTGTCTCCCTTTCTCTCTCTATGCCTGTCTCTCCCTCTCCCTCCATCACTCCTCCTCCCTCTATTTTCCTCTGCCTTTAAAGTAAAATAAAAATTTTAATGTCTTTTTTTATTTTTTTTTTATTTTTGACAGGCAGAGTTAGGCAGAGAGAGAGAGAGAGAGAGAGAAAGGTTCTCATTTTTCCATTGGTTCACCCTCCAAGTGGCTGCTACGGCCGGCGGGCTGCGCTGATCTGAAGCCAGGAGCCAGGTGCTTCCTCCTGGTCTCCCATGTGGGTGCAGGGCCCAAGCACTTGGGCCATCCTCCACTATTATTATTACTAATAAATGTATCTATAATTTAAGAAGTGTTTCCTGTATACCTGGTACTGTTCTGGTCAAATAAGGGTCCTGTCCACAAATTCCAGGTATTGTAGAGATATAGATAATTAAAGCTTTTGTTCTTTAACAAAAGATAATCATAGATTATGATAAATGCTATAAATAAAATACACAGTTACATTGTGTATACACAACACATTCAGATGGGATGGTCAGAGTAGACATGGGCAGGATTAACTTGAGACCCCAGAACGAGATGGGGCTATTCATGGAAGAACTGGGCAGAAAGCATCATGGACATGGGTGCAGCTAACACAAACCCTGCAGGCAGAACAGGTTTGCATGCTCCAGGAAGAAAAAGGAGGTGTGTAGGGCTGGAGGGAAGCCAGGAAGAGAAGCAAGGCCAGGAAAGACAAGGGTCAGTTCATGAGAATCTTTGTAGAATTTTCTTCTAGAGCCAATGAAAAGTCTGTGAAGAACTTTAAGTGTGACATGATCTAATTTACATTTCTCTAACATCCACTCTGGTTGCTGAGAAATTACAGAGAGTAAAAGTCAAGGGGCTATTCAGAATTCAGGCAAGGGATCATGATGCTTTGAAATAGAGGGACAGCAGTGGCAGCAAAGTGTAATAGTGCTCACAGCTTTATAGAAAAGGAAACGGAGGTTCAGAGAGGTTAGGGCAATTTATAGTATTGCACAGCCAGCTACTTGTAGAGCCAAAATTTAAACTCATCTGTCTGGTGCTGAAGTAGGTTTTCTTTTTTCTGCATTTCTTTAAGTCTCACTTGTGAAATAATGATTTGGATGCAATTACTTACAAGACGGTTTCTAGTTCTAAAACATCAAAACCTTCCAATGAATTCATCAAAAATGCAGCAAATTCTCTCTGCTTGGATATGTGTTTGATGTTCCCTGCATGCAGTCCTATTATTTGTAATGTTCAGTTTGCTTTTTGTCTTACCTGATGAAGAAACATACACCATGTAAAAAAATACACTCATGTGGTCTTCAGTCTTCAGGAAACTTCAAGAGAGAGGGAGAGAGAAAGAGAGAGAGAGAGACTGACCGACCATGTCTAGGTAATGCATTGGCAAGGAGTGACGTCTTCAAATAAATAAATAGGCAAATAAAGAATAGTGGCGGGGGGGGGCAGGCAGAGGAGCACCTGAGGGTTATCACATCATCACTGGCAATAGATAGCAATACAGATTTAAAAAAATATCATAGACTATCACCTAGGTAATGGGAGTCCTTTAAAACCAGGCCATGACTTTTTATTTTTAATACTCCTTCATTATTTGCATCTTTGTGTATATAATAAATATTCCCTTTGTAATATATCTTAAAAGAGAAAAAAAAACAGACCATTTATAATAAAAGGTATCAGAAGGTGAGGGTTTCATAAATGTAGCACTACACTCTAGAAATTTTGGAAAGGTATGGTTTTACATATTTTGTGGTAGAGTAGAGGAAATACAACAGTGAGAAGTCCCTTAATATGGTGGGTACTAGCTCAGATTCTGAAGCCAGACTGTCTCCCTTCAAATCCTGGCTCTACTACTTAACTGCTGTAGGACCTTGGACAAATCATTTAATTTCCAGTAGGCTTGCAGTCCTCATCCAATTTGGGGTTAATAATCATTAATAATATTTTGATCCATAGAGAAACCCTGAGAATTAAATGTTAATTTATGTGAATATAAATATAATCTATGTTCAGTCCATTTCTATGGTTTCAGAAAATAAGACATTCCAGCACTACTGGTTTTAGCTTTCTTTTCTTTTGAGAATTTTCTACTACTTATGAGGTACTCTGGGAACTTGCATAAAAGGTACAGTGTAAATAGGAGGAAAATGATTTCAAATTAGTCAGTGCTTAGAGGCAGAAAGTACTTTATTAATAAATAAAGTTAATCATGTAAGAAATGGTAGCATTCTTGAAAATAAAATAAAAGTAAAATAAAAATTTTACTTTGCCATAGAATTAGACTATTAAATGTTAAATGTGCCTTTTACCAGAGTTCAATTACATTTTCATTTCTGTATTTTAGTGTTCTATAGCTTTGGCAAATTATATCAGCAGGATCACTAATTAAAATGTGCATGATTAGTGCTTGCAAATGTAGGAAGAGAAAAAGCATATCCTATGGCATTTCCTCCTGATAAAGTTCTTGCACACAGGCCAGAGTTCTTTGATGCTCACTTCCTTTTTGCTGTGAGCAAGAGTACAGGAAAGAGGGTCACTGGCAGAATGACTTACTCTCTAGTGAAGAACTGAGTCTGGCCTGCCATTGAGTTGCCTGAAATCCCTTCCGTCAATCATAGCCCTAGTAAAGATGAGCAATTATTGGGCTTTATCAAGGCAACTTCTTGGAGCTGTGCTGCTGTAAGATCCTCTGGAGCCTTCTGGAGCCTTCTTCTGTGAAGTTAGGCCTTGGTACATGGTCCAAGGAAAGTGTAGCATGATCTTTTCTTAAGCTCTAAGTGTAAAGAAAGCTTGGAGGTTAAAGAGAACCATGGCTGTGAGTATAAAGTACTGAACAATCTTTAAGAATGTGTGACTAGTTTAGCCTAATGATTAGGATGCTCAGGTCTTCCATCAGACTGCCTGGGTTCTATTCCTGGTGCTGACTCCTGAATCCGTCTTTCCGCCAATGCAGACCCTTGGAGGCAACAGTCATGGCTTGGAAACAACAACAGTCATGGCTCAAATACTTGTGTTTCTGAATCCTATGTGGTAGACTGGATTATGTTCTTGGCTTCTGCCTCTGGCACCAGCCCTATCACACCATCACAGCTGTTGGAGGTGTTTGGAAAGTGACCATTAGATGGAAGTGTGTGCTCTCTCTCTCTCTCTCTCTCTCTCTCTCTCTGTGTGTGTGTCTGTCTGCCACTCAACTAAAATAAGAAATATTTTTAAAAAATTTAAAAAGAAGAATGAATGACTGAACGGGATATTCAACTTTTACTTAGATGACATTAAATGAATTTCATCACGCAGGATTATATACCTGTGTATCATCTAGAGAAGCCCATCTCCTTTCTGAGGCTGGTTTCCTGGCTGAGTGAAGGGTTTTAGCGGACATTATTGTCACTGTATTTCGCAGAGTTCAAAGACGGCTAAAATGTTTGATGTTGCAGGGCCATGAAGTTGAATGTCAGGAAGTATTATCCACTCTGATGCATCAAGGCTCAAATGATCAGCTAATGGGAAAGTGCTTTCCAGGGGAGAAAAGAACCTCCAGCAACAGGGTGAAAAGGATGGGTCAGGACTCTCTCTGCCTGCTTCTACAACGCCTTTCCAACAGTCTCTTCATTGCCACTTCTTTGTTTTGGGTTTGTTTTGCTCTCCGAGTTCTAGTCCTTATCTTCTTAGTGTAAAATGTCGGTGTCCTCATCTAGAAAAAGAGAGCATAATTACCCACCACCTTATAGTGTTTCTGTGACAAATAAGATGATGCATTTGAAGACATTAGTAGTGTGGCTCTTTTTACTATGATGCTGTGAGATCCTCACACAGCAATCAAGCCAGACTTCTCTCCTTGTGTTTTGCTCGGTTCCAACCATAGGCTCTGCCTTCCCTGCATCCCATCAAAGCAGCCACAATTGTCTAAGAGATTGTGCTCCAATATCCCATTAATTATCATTGACAGGAGGCCATTGTTTTGGGCTGAGTCCCTGCCCCAGGCCCCAGTAGACCAGTCCAAACTGAGCTCAAAACCAGGCAATTTTCCTGGGGGCTGGCACTGTTGGCATAGTAGGCTAAGCTTCCGCCTGCACCACTGGCATACCATATGGACACAGGTTCATGTCCTGGATGCTCCTCTTCTGATCAAGCTCTCCACTTATGGCCTGGGAAAGCTTGGGCCCCTGCACCTGCATGGGAGACCTGGAAGAAGCTCCTCATTGCTGGTCTCAGATCGGCCCAGTTCTTGCCATTGCGGTCATCTGGGGAGTGAATCAGCAGATGGAAGACCTCTCTCTCTTTGTGTCTCCCTCTATCTGTAACTCTACCACTCAAGTAAAATAAAAGGAAGAAACAGGCCATTTTTCCACAGAAAAAGAGTTTCACAGCAAGGAAAGGAGGCCCAGTGTACCTGAATCAGGGTGAGGAGCAAGTCCCCTCTGCTGCTTTAACCTTCATAAGGGAAGTACAAGGAACTTTGAAACAACCAATCTGCTCTCTCTTTTTTAAGATTTTAATTAATTTATTTATTTGAGAGGTAGAGTTACAGAAAGTGAGAGGGAGAGACAGAGAGAAAGGTCTTCCTTCCATTGGTTCACTCCCCAAATGTCCGCAATGGCCAGAGCTGTGCTGATCTGAAGCCAGGAGCCAGGAGCTTCCTCTGGGTCTCTCGTGCAGGTGCAGGAGCCCTAAGACTTGGGCCATCTTCCCATTGCTTTCCCAGGCCATAGCAGAGAGATAGACTGGAAGAGGAGCAGCCGGGACTAGAAACAGCACCCATATGGGATGTCGGCGCTGTAGACGGAGGATTAACCTACTGCGCCATGGCACCAGCCCCCCAATCTGCTTTCTATTCTCTGATCCTGCTTTCATCAGCCCTTTCTTTTCTATAAAACAAAATTCTCGCCTCACTCCTCAGGACACTTTCTGTTTTATAGAATGAGGTGTTGTCTGATTCTAGAAACGCAAGTGAAAACCAACTAAGATCTTGAAATGTGTTGCGAATTTTGTCTTTGAACAAACCCTGTAAAAAGAGAAAAAACATCACAATATATATATATAATGTACATGATGCCACCTGAATTGTCTCCTAGGAGACCCTCGGAAATCAAGAAATAGGTTTGTGCTTTTTTTTTCTGGTATGACTGGTGAATCTAATAGAAATGGGGCAAACATAAAGCTAGCCCCTGTTCTAACACTGTCCTCTGCTTGGAATTTCTCTTCCCCTCCCAGGTCTTCATATGACTGAATCCTTCTCCACATTCAGTCTCTGCTTGCATGTCACCTCTACAGAGAGATCTTCTCCACCCTAACTAAAGGGTCCATCTGACCTCATCACTGTTTGTGATATGTCCCTGAATTATGTGCTTTGGAGAGAGCAGGTGTCACTAGCTGGGATCATCTCATTTAGCTCCATGTGTATTTATTGCCCATGTCTCACAATGACAATATAAACCTCATGAGGACAGAGTCTTTGTCTATCATGTATGTCATATTCTTAATGCCTAGAACATAGTGCCAAGCACAAAGTGGGTGCCCCATTTATCTTCGTTGAATAAATGGATCATTCGCCTGTATCTTGTGGGGCAATGTCTTGAGGAGGCCTGAAGCAACTCTTGCATGTGCAATGACAGTAAAGCTTCCCTGCCTCCAACTCCCCCTTAAAAGGACCCCAGGTCATCTTCCCCTCCTGGCTACAGTGAATGTGCAGTAATTCATCTCGTCAGTTAGGTGCCTCATCCCTACTTAACAAGATCTAATATTTATGATGTGAAAATGGACTGTGTGGTTATGCACTGGGGATGTCCCTGGCCTCCAAATGACCTCCCAGGGAACTGTGTAAAGGTGCTAAGTGGTTCTGAGTGAGGTGGAAATGTCCCTTGGCCAGCTATGCTCCAACCTCGAGATGAGGGAGGAAAGAGAAAAACCAAGAAAAGGTCCATGACTAAGTTGTCCATGGGCTTCTTGCACAGGCCCTTGGAAAGTGCATGAATGGGAATTAACTGTGACAGCCTACTGAATGTGAAGGCAATGATACCAAATTTGGGGTCAAATTTAGCAAAGGGCTTCACTGTGAGGTTTACTTTTACAGTGTTGCTATATAGTGAGTGAGATATTTTATATGAATCCTGAGTTTTCCAGCAATTTGAGACTTAGTGGAATTAAATATACTCTGGTCACTGTTTTTTCTTTGTTAATGCTCACCTCAGTGTAGCAAAATACCAGCAGCTTAACTCTGGAAGGTAAAGTCATGCCGACGCCTTTGTACCTGAAAGAGAGCAGAGATGAAAGGGTCTCTCTGAAAAGGATGGAGCATTTAGAGCTGGATAAGGTAAGACTCTTCTGACAGTGTGTTTTGGTGAAGAACTACAAGATTAGTAGAACCTCAGACTGCGTCACAATTGTGAAGAAGTCAGGGTGAGTTCTTTCAAGTAGGATGTGATGTTTATTCGATACATTTTTCTTGAGCACCTATTGTAAACCAGTTAGGGTTCTCGATGTTGGGAACACCAGGATACATGTAACAGATACAGTTCCAGTCACCCTAGAGCTGACAGCTAGGCTCAGGAGACAGACAAGTGAACACAGCCTGAGACTTGTATCACTAAGGAGTGTGGAAACACAGCCAGGAGAGCTGCTAACCAAAGTCATGAGGGGTGATTTTGCAGAAGAGGTGTTGAAAAAGCGATCATCTGGCCAGCACCCTGGCTCACTTGGCTAATCCTCCGCCTGCGGCGCTGGCACCCGGGGTTCCAGTCCCGATTAGGACGCCGGGCACTAGTCCCGGTTGCTCCTCTTCCAGTCCAGCTCTCTGCTGCGGCCCGGGAGTGCAGTGGAGGATGGCCCAAGTGCTTGGGTCCCTGCACCCGCATGGGAGACAGGGAGGAAGTACCCAGCTCCTGGCTTCAGATCAACGCAGCGCCGGCCATAGCGGCCATTAGGGGAATGAACCAATGGAAGGAAGACCTTTCTCTTTGTCTCTCTCTCACTGTCTATAACTATCTCTCTATCTCTCTCTCTCACTAACTCTGCCTGGCAAAAAAAAAGACAAAAATATCAGAAATGAAAAATCAATCATCTGTCATCTGGTGAAGGCAGCAAACTTGTGAACCTATTTTTCTGGTCAAATGAACCAGGCAATATAAGAACATTAAATTATTTGTGGGGTGTGTGCCAACATTGCTCCTGCCTGATCCTCGCACATTCTGTCCCCTTTTTTCTTTGAGTCCCATTGCACCACTCACTGTTACTCACATGTTGCTCTCGATGGAGATGTCACTTTCTAGGAGAAGGCCCTCTCTGACACCCACATGACAAAACACTGTGCTCCGTGGTTCTGTGACGCCCGCTGGCCTGTCCATCAGACTAACAGAGCCTCACTACGTGACTGGCTGTGTTCTGAGTGCTTCACTTTTATTAGCTCATTCATCCTCTCCACCAGTTTATATGTGTTATCCCCACTTCCCATCTAGGAAACAGCAGTCCAAAGAGGTTGAGTGATTCTCTCTAGGGAGTAAAACAGCTACCACACAAACCCAGGCATGTGGTTCCAAGAATGCTTTCTAATAAACAGTACTGAACTTCCTGTCAAGGTAGGCAAACCTAGCTGTATTGTGATTCCTTGAGAGTAGAGATCATGACTTGCTCACAGTTATGCAAGAAATGCCTAGCCCCGAACATAGTGCATAGCAGGTGTTTATGATGCTTATTGAGTACCTTTTTAAAGTGTATTGAGATGCCACATGTTCTCCGTGGGAACTGCTACCTCTGCCATTGTTTTCATGGGTACTATGGGCCCTTTTCCTTCCAGGTAATGAATCTGTAATCAAACATAGATTTATGGAACTTGGAACCTAATAAAAGGCATTGGGACCCCTGGAATAGAACACCTAAAGAAATAGATTTTTGCTGTGGAAAGCCAAGACACTCTGGCAAAAGATCTCTGTGAGTGAGATCCCAGTGGAAAGAACAGGTCTTCAAAGAGGGAGGTGCCTTTCTCTGAAGGGAGGAGAGAACCTCCACTTTGACTATGACCGTGTCCAAACAAGATAAGAGTCGGAGAACTCAGGGGGCTTCCATAGCCTTGGAAACTCATAACTGGTGCATAGGGAGATTACTGATGCCATAAACAGGAGTGTCAATTTGTGAAGTCAACGGCAGGAGTCACTGTGCACTTACTCCTCATGTAGGATCTCTGTCCTTAACGTGCTGTACACTGAGGCTTAATGCTATAACGAGTACTCAAACAGTATATTTCACTTTGTGTTTCTATGGGGGTGCAAACGATTGAAATCTTTACTTAATGTACACTAAACTGATCTTCTGTAAAAAAAAAAAAGAAAAAAAAAATTATCAATTCCCAACTTGACTCTCACTGGGATTAAACGTGACAATAGGTCTGATCTGATTTCATCATCATTTAAAAAAAAATCATCTATTATTTTTCACTTAATGTTTCTGTGTGGGAGCAAACTGTTGAAATACTTACTTAAGGTATGCTAGGCTGATCTTCTGTATATTAAGATAATCGAAAATGAATCTTGACGTGAATGGAGGGGGAGAGGGAGTGGGAAGGGGGGGGTTGTGGGTGGGAGGGACGGTATGGGGGGGGAAGCCATTGTAACACATGAGTCGTACTTTGGAAATTTATATTCATTAAATAAAAGATAAAAAAAAAAAAAAAAGAAATAGATTTTTGCTGTAGGTGGCTCTTTGTGAGATCCTCCAAAGTATAAAAGCTCCAGGATGTTTCCTTTCATTGAATTTCTTCTGTCAGATAGTTCTATAACTCAATACACTATCTATTCCCTTACCCTGGAGTGGGATTTTGTTTTTATCTCTTATTTGGGCTTGTGGTATAATGCGGAGTGTAGAAGTAAATCTGATCCAATACTTAGGCGGCAGTATTAGCTACTGTCTGCCCCAAAGCTGCAAGCAGTGATGGTTCAGTGCTTCGTGGCGCTCCGGCCGCAGCGGTCCCTCTCCTGCACGCCCTGCATTGTTTCGCTTAGCTGCTTTCTGCTTCCTGCTTCATCTGTTAACTACTGGCCTCACCAGCAGTTCCGATGATACATCCGCATCTGGATCTAGGCAAGATCAGTGTCTCCAGGGGAACCTTGCTGGAATCAGTCTGGGTAGATGTCTCTCGATTTTAAAAAAATTTTCTGATATGTCAGAGGTGATTGCATATCAAAGGCATTCAGAAAATCGTGTTTAGCACATGTGGCAGAGGTAGTGGTAGCAATAGTAAATTAACCCTTTAATGTAACATAAAATATTTTTGTCTGAAGGCTTGAGAGAGATTTTGTTCTCTCTCTCTCTTTAAGAAATCAGAGAAGACTTACTGACTGTGTAAAAATTCAAAAGAATCAATGTAAGAAATGGAAAAAAGCACTTTTCCTCAAGTGAAAATAAAATCAACAGGCACTTATTGATCTGTGGAGACTAAATGGTATGCTGCAGTTTGAATGGCCTCTCCAAAACTCACATTGAAATTTAATTGCCACTGTGATCATGTTGAGAGTTGGGACCTTTCGGAAGTGATCAGCTCTTGTGGGTTCCACCCTCATGCATGGATTAATGCAGTTATCGTGGGAGTGGGTTAGTTGTTACAAGGGTGGGTTGTTCTAAGAGTGAGTTGGCCTCCTCAGTTCTCTCTTGCTCCCACCCTCTTTCTCTCTTATGTGCTCACTCACCATGCAATGCCATCTACCACATTATAGTGCAGTAGGAGCATCATGGGTGAGGCTCAGACGAAGCCCTGACCAAACATGTTCTTTGCCCTGAGTCTACTCCTTTAAGCTGAGTGACCTACCAGTACCATTTGGCTGGCATCAAATAAAAACAAGTCCTAGATGTCCTATTCGCAGCTTGCTGCACTCTTCCATCCTTCTCAGGCCCCCATGAAGACCCTGAATTCCTGATCTGCTGTCAGCTTTCAGATCTCGTGCCTGGCATCATAACTCTCCCAGTTTCTCTTAGGCCAGTTTCACATCAGCTTCCATTTGAATCTACTTCCAGGTGACCACACTGCTTGACACCAAGCTTGGCTTCTGGAAGCTCGCCTGGTCCACTGACCACCCCTGCCCCAGGGCATCAGGCTTGTGGATCCCACTCCCAACACACTTTAGAAGTTCAAGTGTTTGTTCAATGTATTTAACAAACAGTAAGAACACAACGAAAATAAAGTTATGGTTGTGAATTCAGGAGAGCAAGAGAAGAGAAGGTAAGGAAGAAATTGGGGAAAACTTCTGTCCCTGAAATGGTCAATACTGAGGACTCTTAACGGAAAGGGTTGGGACTGATGCCATGCCGAACACTTACTACAGAGCATTGCTCTTCAGTCAAAGGAATACTTGAGGTTCTCCAAAAAGAAATGATTGTAGGAGGAAATAGAACAAATTCCCTTAGGCAGTATCTTTGGCTGGGGAGAGGGAGCCGAGGTGGTGTAAATAATGGACGGTTTCCTAGCTTTCTAGTGGAAATAAGAAATAGTGCCCAGTAACTATGGTGATTCCAAGCCTCAAAACACCTTCATAAAGATGTTCACGTGGAATGGGTTTGTTTTTTTTTTCTCCACACAAATAACAAACTGCCAAGTCCATCTGGCTCCAACCCTCACTAAGCGCAGTTCTAACACAAATTTTCTGCCCTTAAACAGAGCTTCCCTGTGTGTTCTGTGGCATTCTTCTACGGCTGCCTCAGGACTGCTTCATCCCGGCCCTCATCGCAGGCATTCTTCAGTGGTTTCAGCTCTTTTCAACAAGGCAATTATGGTCACAGGCCTATTTATTTTACAACTAAATATGTTCATATATGTGGCTTGTAAAGCTTCTTTGACCGAATGACAGGACTGTCATTTCTGCAAACACCTCTGGCAGTGTGGTTTGATATACTTTCCAGTTCCCGTGTCCTTTACGTGCCTTTCTTATGCTTCTGCTCTGAGAATGGGGTTGATTTCTCTTGCTTGCTTGTCCAAGGGATGGACGGTGGCAGCAACTCTTCAAGCTCCTGAGGCCCTTGAGAAATTCACACCATCACTTTCACCACTTTCACAGTGATCTGAATTGCCCCAATACACATAGCCTTACTGACGACAACGACCCACAGCGAAGTTTCCTCTGGGAGTTTTGCAAGCATAGTTTATACTGTGTATTAGTTTCCAAGGGAGGCAAACAAATCATCACAAACTTGGTGGCTTAAAGCAACAAAAGTTTATTGTCTCACAGTTCTGGAGGCCAGAAGTACAAAATCCAGGTGCTGGCAAGACTGCACTCCCTTGCAGGCTTGGGGAGAATTCTTCCTTGCCTTTTCCGGATCTGGTGTCCATTGGAGTTCTCCAACTCCTACTCTTTCAGTGTGGTCATAACATCTCTCATTGCTTGGGTTTGTCTTCTCTTCTGTTTCTTACAAGGACAATTGTCATTAGATTTATGGTCCACCAGGTAATCCAGGAAGCTCTCTTCTAAAGATCCTTAAGTAATTATATATGTAAATACTATTGTACTAAATAAGGTTACATTCACTTTATCTGGGCATTAAGATGTGGACATATTCCTTGGGGGACCAACAATGAACTCCATTACATCTTGTGGCCTGACAGAGTCTTGCAGACACTGGACACTCACCAGTTGTCTTCAAATGCCCATTTTAACCAATGCAGAACCAATCTCAGCTTTCCAAAGATTGCTTTGCACACCCATGGAGAAAGGTGCAGATGATCTCCTCAGATGAAGGCAGTTAAAGAGGGTGGTAGCTCCAAAATTTGGACAGGGTGATTAAGAGGTGTCTTGTGGGAAGCAGTGATTTCCCTAATGAATACATTCTTCTGCACAACATGTTAGTTTTATCTCAGACCCAAGTCAACACCCACCAGTATCTGCTATCTCTCTCCCTATCCAAGGGATAACTGCAACACTTTCTTTTCAGTAATCATTAAAACAAGTAGATTTAAAAAATTATGACTGTAGAATATTTGAACAAAATTGATCTCAGCTAGGAACACATGTTTTAGGGCCTATGCTGACTATATGTATGAATACATGATGATCTCATAAGTGAATTCTCCTCCCTGTGCTTCTAAGAAGGACATGGAATATGATATTTTCCACCCATTCATCCAATAAATCTATTCTAAACAGCTCATTTATATAGCACTATTTTCTGAATTATTAAATGATGAATCATATCACTGAATCCCATGCAAAGATATACAAACTGCTTTCCCACATATGGTCTCGTTTGATCCTCAGAACCAATTCATGAGATTACTTGAATAACTGTCATGGAGAGGCTCTCCACTGCAGCCTGAACATGCTACAGGAATAAATAAGGGCTGCTGAGGCGCCTAGACATGAGCAGCAGTGGCAAACCATTACCTGTGGCCGAAAGAGCAAGGGGAGGAACTAGGATCTGATAAAAATAGAAGACTCGCTTGGCAGAAGCTGTAATCTTGGAGGAAGACAACCGCTGACAGATCCGCTGTGCTGAAACAAAGAGGAACAGGAAGGTTCGTGCTCCCCAACATCTCATCTTCCTTCTGGTAACTCCCATTGGCCAAAACCAAATGGAAGCTGACAGACAAAGGAGCCAGTTTTAGAATCAGCATCCCAGGGCATGAGAAAGGCAACGAAAAGGCAGAGAAAGCATTTGGGTGAAGACAGGAGTAGTTAAAAGCAGCCCAGGCAGATAAAACATGAATGTAAATAACAGATTCCAGATGAGGACGAGAAGTTCCAGTTTACAGTTGGATAGGTGGGTTAGTGTAAGCCTGGAAATTGGGAATCCTTTCTTGAGAAGTACTCCAGCAGGGTCATGGAGTGGCAGTGGAGTCCGGAAATACAGAGATGGGGTATATTCAGCAGAATAGATATTTCAAAGACACAAGATACCTAGTATATGTGGGGT